TTGTGATTGCAGCGATGGGTGTGTCGCCTTTATGTCTTGTTTTCTTTTTCTGCGCACCGTTTCCGTCATAAGTGAAAGGACACAGACCACGGTGCTGTGCATGTCCTTAGTCCCGTGTTCATCCTGTCTATTTAGCGCAGCTTTTGCACTCGCGATCATGAACCAACCGGTCCGAATGCGTACCGCATACACTAAAAGTTTTCCGGAGAACCTGCGCAGTTACCCCGAAAAGGACTTGGTGCTCCTCGAAAAGAACAACGCAAAAGATTTCACATGCCACGGTAAGGAGGGGCACTTTCGTTTTTGCGGATCAAAGCGCCCGTCTTTTGGGGTACCTGCAGGAATGTTTGCACCGTGGGCAAACGGCCCATCGAGTGTGGTGTAGTGGTTAGTGTACACTCATGCTGACTTTGTGGTCATGAGTTGGAATCCCGAGAGTTTGCTGCGAATTTCTCAAAATTTATTTTTGAATGTGATGCTTGCACATCGATTGTACATCTAATGAAATGCCTGAATGCACTTCGAAAGACTGGTTAAGTCAACTAAAACCCGAGTTTTCTCTTGCACAAAATAACTGTGTGCTCCCTTGAGGAGTAACGGCGACAGCGCGGTTACTCCTTCGCAGTTACACCTAAAAGGGTGCAATGGGTGTGACAAGTTAGTTACTCCTCTAAAGGAGCAACCTATATACCCATTTTTCCTCCTTTACTTCTTAGAGTGTATATGGAGTTGGATTAATCCATCTGCAGCCATGGAGTGGACGCGTGCCGACCGACAAGGGGCGTTCGTATAAACGCAGTGTATACCTTCACTTCGGCCCAACTCTACACAGGACTCGAAGCGCTCGATCACATCGTGTCGATATAAACGACAAATATCACAGCGAGGAAGTGAGAAGTTGCTTGCAACGTAATGTTGCTTGTCGGGGAGAGGGTAACAACCAGAATGTTTTTCACAATAGCACAGGACAGTAATCGTTCGAATTTTCGCTATTCATCGCGGTATCGTGGCACGGAATCTCGAGCGTATTGAACGTACGCACATTCACATTCCATTGTGAAGTCCCGATCGTTTGATATACAAATGTTGCGCATAGGTGGCAAGGGGCACACAAGTGCTAAATAAGAAAACAGTAATGTTTCATAGCTTCCAGAAACGACATGGCTGATCCTTCATTTAGTTATTTCTGTTCAGGTATGCACAACCTTTTAACTACACGCTTGCACTTGCCCTTGCATAAAAGCTGGTATAGTATCTCGCATCTATCAGAGAAACCAAAACAGCATCATTTCGCGAAAAGTATAGCTTTATACATGCTGTCAAAGGCTGTCGTAATAAAATTTCTAATACTTTAAACGCGTTATGATTTATCCGATCACTGATAAACGGTATATATTTTAGAGAGGAAGAAAGATAGAGAGAGGTTTTCGATGTTGTAACTATAGGATGACTTGAAGGGGTTCTGAATATCAGGGAAATTTTTGCATGGTTTAACTTTTCGGGTGATACTTCAGTGCTTACGCGCCTTATACCACCATTTCCCACGTTATAGCCACACATAAACATCCCCTCGAAAAAAAAATCCTCCTAGGGTACGTTCATGAAGCTTTTGTTCGTTTCGTCATGCATACCAATACAAAAAAAAAGTGAAAGAGCCAACCTTGCTCATTCCTGAACAGCAGCAATGTTGTGCGACAATTTTCGCTGCCCAAATAGCAACACAGACATAGTTCGACAACTTGTTCAATGGAAACTTCGCATAGAAGTTCACGAAACGTTCGCAATCTGTAATGCCTGCAGTGCAACTGTCGCGAGATGAACATTACGAAAAGCACGTGCACTTGTTGAGTCTAGCATATATGACGATGCGCTGCACAACTAATTGTTCAAGAATACGGACGCTGCATGTGTGGTGCTGATTTGCCGAACGATACAGTGCGCTGACACTTTCCCACAAAGCGAGTGGACGTTGTTTGCTGCTATACGCAAGAGCTCGTTTATAAATGACAGTGTAAAACTGCGAAGCGCACGTATCCTGCTGGAAGCAAGCTACGCGGCTGCTGCAATATATGATAAAACGTGACGGGTAACACAAAGATCGCTCTGTGTGGCTCGATCATCATTGACTAAGATGTGGATGGACGTTTACAGGTACGTAATTTATTTTATTATTCTGTTTTGGCTTATAACCATCCAGTGAAGAGCGATCATGAAAGCCAATGTCCACATGGTATTCACCAAATCGGCAAATAGCGACCGCAGAAAAAGTGTTGCGAAGAAGTAAAATTTTGGCATGTAAGAGCACCATTTCTTCATTTCTTTTAGCGTTGCTATGAAGCGCTCCACCATTAGCTCGTAAAGTGTTATACGACGTTTAATGAGTGAGTGAAACAATTCTGTTGACGGTCTAGCATAAAGAGGGGGGGGGGGGATTTTTTTTAGATCTGTTATTTCAGTGCACCCTGAAATAAGTGAGTGTAATGTGTAGATTTTATTTGCTGGGAGCCCATCTGAGAACGAGGGATGCTTGTTATAGCGGCCAGATATATCGCTATCGTATGTACATGGGAAGGAAACATTCATGATAAGCCGATATAAGCGTACACCTGGAAACGCACTTGAATACGCAGGAGGGCATCATCAGAATTATAATATTGCGTCAGAAGCGAATCGTATCTCGAACGCTCATATGTCATACGGCGGTGTAAAAAAAAAGTAAAATGAAATTATATATCAAAAGGTGTTGCAGCGTGAGCTGCTCAAGGAAAATATGCAAATTACATCATAATTCATAAATTTAACATCTGTGGCGTACTTATCAACATGCACTGCGATTATAAGCAACTCGGTCTTCATTTTACTGGATCGATTACATGGAGCAAACACACTGACACGACCACAGCAAAAGCCAGTGGGATGTTTTACATTATTCGCGGCAATTTCCAACAGGCGACACGTCAAATCAAGGAAACTTTATATTATTTTGCAGTTCAGATCCGTATTTGATTATGCATGCGTAATATGAGGCCGCCACCATCACTATATCTTTTAAATAGAATAGAAAAGCTTCAAAACCAAGCGGCAAGGTTTGTTTTCAATAATCATAGCCCCTAGCGTTTCACAAATAAGGGCCACTTTGGGGTGGAATCTGCTACGTGTACGTAGACATAAACTATGGCTTAAACTATTGCCCCAGACATATCGCTCTAACACAGGAATCAATCATCATGACAACCATGTTCACCACCCTACACATCCACTCGCTGTGATAATAGGAAAAAGATATCTACCTTCAATGCACGTCTAACACTGTTTTCCACTCATTCTTTCCAAGAACAATAGGAGAGTTGAACAGCTCAACTGACAACTTAGTAAATATGTCAAAAATGATTTATTCTTTTCTATGCTGTGAAATTGTTCTGGCATTATGTATATTCTATACGTGTATTGTAAACATTTTTCTTGATCCATATTTCCATTCTGAAAAATCTGACGGTGATTTTTTGTATGTGTTTATATGTATTTGCTAGGCATTCTATTCTACTGATTGTTCTTTTTTATAGTTTTTGCACCCCCTCCCTCAGTAATGGCAATGCAGGTAATCTGTAAATAAATAAATGAGTAAATAAATATGGAGTCATCTTTCAGCAATACAAAAAAGAGACTCCTCACCATTGTTTAGCTTTTCAGTTTATAATGTTCATTGTAATTTCAATGATGAACAGCCCGTTCCGGCGATTAAGATAAATCGGATTTCACGTAATTTACAACGGCTGCGAGCTTTTACAATAAAACTGCACGTGACAAAGCCCATGCTTTTTAAAAATTACGAATGAGTGGTCGAAGAAGCATGCACTTCATGGGCATGCTGAAATGGGCTCTGGTGCACCTAAATATATAAAAGCGTTTCAATTGTATTTATGTCTCATCGTTGGAGAGGCGCACATTACTCGGCTTATTTGACATCTGTTACACATTAGTGCGCCGTGACATGGCGTTAGTGGAAAGGCGTCTTAACCAATACATTTCCATCCACAAAGCTGTTTAGACCTTCACAGTAGCTGTGTATGCTTTCAAGCAGATTTGAAATACGGATAATTTCAATGTCCCCTTAGATATGCGGACGTTAACTTGAAGTTTTCGCCAGGTGAATGGTCACAAATGTTTTGATAACGCCATTGTTTACTCTGGCTACGTTGAAAATCATGAAGATATGTCCCTTACATAGGAGAACCGTTTCCTACAACACAAACGCACGTTCCACTAGTTCCCGTGTGGGGTGAAATGAAGTGGTGCAGGGCGCCGCCAACGAGGGCCACCACCAATATCCTGCCTTCCAAACAACTTTGCAATTGCAGCTGACTTCACGAATGAAGAACCTTATCGTTTGTGAGGCTACCTTGCAAGAAATAAAAGTTCGCAGTATAGCTCTGCAAGCGGCGGCGCGTTTTAGATCTTCGTTAGCTACCCTTCCCATTTCCCAAGTCTATTATGATAGAGTATACCGTACTCATGAATTCACACACATCACTTTTTTATAATCACTATATATCTACTATGCGCGTTATTGTTCCAATAACCACGTCATGTCGCGAGGAATTTTATCTCTAAAGATAAAATACAATATTGGCTCTAATCAACGGGCTCACATTGAAATTACGCCAACATGACTCTAACAGAAGATGATGGAAACGAAAGTATGCGAGCTACAGTCCTAAACTGTCCCGTTTCGAACCCTGACGTTCTGCACCGCATTCATTACAGAGAAGTGCAAATCATGATGTACTGGGAAAGAAGTTTGTCGCAAGCATTGACGCTGTCCTTGCATGATGTTTTGAAGTAAGCGCGCAGGCTATAAGTTCCCTGCTTATCTGTTCGGATATTTCAGTGAGAAGGACTGAGAGAGTGATGTTCCAGCCTGCAGCTTCTCTGTATAGCTACCCGCATCATGCTCGCACTTCCCTCTACTGGTTATGACAAGCGTATGTGTTATTACTCACTTGAAGAAGTCATTCCGACAGAAGAGCTTGCCATCCCTGGAGAAGCACTTATCGGTGAGGTTGCAGCGGCAATCGCAGCACTGGACGCACTTGGTGTGCCACGATCGGTCCAGTACGTTGAGCAGGAACCTGTCCAGGATGGGGCGGTCGCAGCCCGCGCACTGCACCATCTTCATGGCGGCCGCCGCGGGCCCAGCGCCCGCCGCCCGCCCCCGCCGGCGAGTCACGGTGAACGCCGCACTGCGCCCGGACGCGCACCCGGTGAAGAATCAAGAGGAGCGCACTACGCGGACGAACGCTCTCCGAACAGCAGCCGCGCACGCAGCCGGAAAGCACGCGTCGACTGAACGGAAAAGCAGCAGAGCGCGCTCACCGACTACAGCCGCCGCGCTTGTGCGTGTTCGCGGCGTGCTTTTCCCTCCACCGGACCAGGCACCGTGCGCGCAACGCGGAACACACTCTGCGCCCTGCTGCAGTGCCGCCACCGCTCCACTCCACCGGTAGAGCGCCACATTTCCGAGGGGGTGGAGCGCGCAGACGGGCAAGGCGGGGCTACGAAGCACCGCCTTGTCAGGTCGACCGGCCAATGGCGTAAGCTGTCGTGCAAAGAAACGCCGAGAAGCGCGCGCGCGCGCGCACTGCCGAGCGCGCACGTGAACGAGCGACTGCTCCGGAGGCCCGCACTTTTCAAAGGCGGCGGGTGCGCTCTTTGCTTCATTTTTGCGCGCTCGGAGCGTCTCTATTTTCTTGAAGGGCACTTTTCCTCCTGCGCCGCTCCTGCCTCCTCTCCTTGCCGCTCGTCACCGAGAAGAGGTTGGCGCTCGCGTAGCGCCGCAGGCTCGCTTGGGCGCGCTGTCGCTCTGTTGGCGGCCGCTGCTTCCCACCTGTCCCGCTCCGGGCGGTCGACCAGAGCGACGGAATAAAGATGAGGAGAGGAAGCGCCGTGAAGTCTCCAAGGTCGCCTCGTCGAAGCGCTTCCGTGTCCACTGCTCAGCTTTGTGCGAAGGGGACCGCGGGCGTCGCTTTTCTTGCTAGCTTTGCTTGTTTGGACGACGGTCGCCTACTCGCGGGCAAACGGGCGGCTACCTTTTTGGCACGAATGAATCATTGGCGCTGTTTTCGGGTGCATCGTCCGGAACTTCGATGGACTCTCGAAAAGGGAGCGTTGCAGGTTTTTGATTTACTTCAAAAGTGTGCTCTTTTTTTTTTTACCTTCGGTTGCCAGAGGTACCTCCAACCAACCCGTTTGCTTTCTTGTGTGCTCTTCTCGCATCATAAAGTGCCATGACAATGGCAACATGGCTACACTATAGTGCATAACAAATCGATGTGCTTTGTGTGCTCTGAAGCGACTAGAATTCGCTGAACAGGGTATGTTGTTGAAGCCAATGTTTCGAGAAGCAGAAGTGTGTACGTCAGCGCAGCATTAAGCTTCAGTTGATGTCATTCGTGAGGCTTCAGCCGTACTGTAGCTTCTTAGATTCTAGCTTTGCTCCTGGTTTAAGGGTGTCTTGCCGACACAACAGCTGTGCTTGCGCGATTCTTCAGGCCACGGCTCACCTATCACCGTGTCAGCCTTTCCAGCAGTGGAGAACATTCTCAAGTATGAGGGAGTCAGATTATCGGAAGTGAGATGCTTAGTTTCCGAGGGCGTAAAATACAAGAGTCTGCGACTGCATGAAAACGCTAGTGTAACAATTCGTTTTGCGCATATATATTACTCACTAACGCCTATTATGCAGTTAATTTGACAATGTTCATTATTTAAAATCACGATGCAGGAAGGCTAAAAAACACCTAAAAAAGATTCAGAGTTCTTTACAAATGGCGTACGTATATATAACTGCAACAGAGAGCTGCAGAACGGACTACAAAGGCTTCGCCATGAAGAACCAGCGCTGGAATTTTGACGGACATGCCATGTTATGCGCCCTGTCACACACGGCCATGCGAACACAAATAAATACCAGTATGCACGGCGTGTGGTGATCAGCCGAGATGAAAGAAGCTCTCCATGGAGCTATAATCGTGGTGTCTTATAGTTACAAATACCTCAACCAGTAGAACTTTTCATATATAAGGATGACTTAGAATGTAGGCTTGCCTCCTCTTGAGGCCGATGTAAAGCAAATACGATATAGTTTAGCAGACTGCGAAACAACTCAAATAATGCAGAATAATCTCATACAAGCACATCAAAGCTTCGAGGGGGTGAATATCGCATGAGATATTACAGATATTATGCCACATTGTCACTTATATATACAATACAACCGTGTTACGAAAGTACAAACGCTAGAAAAACCGTGTTCGTAGTTCATATGTTCTAATACTGCTTAATTCCAGTGCCTCTGAAATTGCGACACAAACTTGACTTATTCTGTCCCTTAATTAGCGTTTTTTAATTGTTGGCATGTGACGATTGTCTGACCGCATGCGTAAACGGTGTGCAGACGTTAAGAATAAGTAGGGTGGCGCTTATCCAAAGCTGAAAGGTTTGTAATTCCACTCGAACCCTAGAGCTCTGCATATGCACGTTTACTTTATACTACTTCACACACTATCTATATATATATATATATATATTATATATATATATATATATATATATATATATATATATATATATATATATATATATATATATATACGAGGCACAACACTGCTGAAAAGCACCTGTAAGAAAAGTGTGCAGTGACACGCATTCTGTTTCGTTCTCTTCCGATATGGCTGCGCTTGCAAGCTAACCCTCTTTCGTGATGAATAATAAAACAGCTCCAGTAACAGATTAACGAATGTGATGCACTCGCTCAATAGATCTGTATCACTGTTCGTCTATATCACTATAGCATTGTACTACGTGAAATATACCAATAACATTTGAAAGCGGCCCCATAAAGCACACTCTGCTAACCGCGTTGCCTTTCGCGAGCGCGATCAGAGCATGCTTAACAGCGCTTTGTGAACGGCGCTGGACGATTCGCGGAAAGGCCAGAATCGCAGTAACTGCCAAGAAGGTCGGCGTAGCTTGCGAAAGGCAAGGCGGAAATCTCCACAACTGAGTGCTCCCGAGCCTTCGAATCGGGGGTGCACGGGTTTGGATGACGTCTCAAAGATTTTTCCACTCTATATTCTTTCTCTATGTTTTACTTCTATGCATTCCTGTCCCTCTTTCTTCACTTCTCGCCCCCACCAGAGTTATGTCATCACGCGCCGGAGAAATGAGCACTCGTGTTCTGGCAGTGAAGCAGAAGGGTAAAAAGAGGATGAAGAGAAAGGAAGTGTATGCCAATTCGTGATGACGATCTGTAGTTTCACTTCACAACACACGGCAAATATCAAACAGAATAGCCTCTGTGTACTTCATCTTGGCCATGTTTTAATGCGCTTAACAAAAAAAAAATCAAACGAACGTCAGCCAACTAGCCCGACTCACCATCTTGCTGCTATAAAACAGTTTATTCGAGGTCGTATACTCCGCACTCTTTTCGTCCCTTGAACAACTTACTCACGCGAAGGTACCCATTCGCGTCCAACACGCTGTCCAAGTAGTGGATAATAACAGGCGGTCCGACCCGACTGACTCTTTCGTATATAACCCGCTGGCAGCTTATCCGTATAATTCCCTTCAGAAGCGCAGAAAAATGACACCGGATAATAATAGTAATTGACGGGTTTAATGACACCACGTCAGACACACCACCACGTCAACCACGTCAAACGACAGAATAGCACGACGAATATAATTTATTAATGCGAAAGCCTGACACCGCAAACGCCAAAATCGACCGTCGGTAGCGTCGACTCGAATATGACACAAAAAAAGAGAGGAACATCCCGTGGTGACGTGAGCATATGTCGTCATCACGACGTAAGGGACCACGAAATAGAGACTTTATAATGATGTCAAATAACGTCACGTCAAGTGATGACGTCTTCGCATGGCATCGCCACTTGGTTGAAGGTGGCCTGATCTATGGAGGCATTGAAAAGTCAGGTGAGACGTATATACACGGCTTCCAATGCCGCCGACCAGTGCATGCGGTTGTGCAAAGTCACGTTACACATGTTTCACCCGGGCACTTTCGGAAGGTGGTCGAAACACCGCAGCTCCATCGACTCAGAGTTGGCGCGCTTCTGTGTGCACTGTGCTCAGAAAGTATAGTGGTATATATCCCAGCGCATATATGTGAATATATGCGCTGTGAGGGCAGCTATTTGATCCAACACTGTAAGCAAAACTATCCGAGTTTTGGGTTTTTGCGGCTCATGACCTCTGAAAACTCTCTCACGTTTAAAATTACTACCTCGTATAGGAGTAAAAGATGGTACATGACATAGTTTTACCACCACCTCTCAGGCAAGCAGTAAAAGGATGTAAACATCCAGTTTTACCACGTAGGGAGTTTTCTATCACGTGATTTTTAACCTGCGTTTCAGAGTTTATTACCACGTGACTGCAAGGTGCAGCTGCTTCGGTGGCTTTTGCCTCGTACTCCCCATTGTGACGCTCACAGTGAATTGTGAAGGTACGCGAGGACCACAGATCTTTTTTTTTTTTTTTGGCATCGCCGTGCCTCAGGACTAACCTCGAGTCAACGCACTTTCACTGGAACTGCATGGGGGCAGCATAAGCACAACATGCAAGCGTGAACAGCATTCTGTGAACGAAAAAGAAAAAAAGACGGGGGGGGGGGGGGGAAGGGGATCTCAAAAGAAGAAAAAAAAAAGAAAGAAAACCTGCTGTGGAAAGTTGTCCTGCATATTTTCGCAAATTGTTGCCTTTTTCTCGGCGGTGGCCTTGGAGACAGACGGTGCAAGAAGCTCGGTATCTGTGTGTCTCGTTGGGCTGATGGATCTCACGTGTTTCCTACATCACCGAGCGCCTCCGAACCTGCACGTCGCGGATATCTCACTTCCGAGCCGAATCGTGAAGATCTGCCAGTGGTAACAAAATCAATCTGGTGTCATCGTTTGTGCTTGCCAACTGGAGAAGCAATAAGCAAAATGCTTCACTCTGTCGTCGGCACCTTGCCCCGCCGCGGTGGTCTAGTGGCTAAGGTACTCGGCTGCTGACCCGCAGGGTGCGGGTTCAAATCCCGGCTGCGGCGGCTGCATTTCCGATACAGGCGGAAATGTTGTCGGCCCGTGTGCTCAGATTTGGGTGCACGTTAAAGAACCCCAGGTGGTCTAAATTTCCGGAGCCCTCCACTACGGCGTCTCTCATAATCATATGGTGGTTTTGGGACGTTAAACCCCACATATCAATCAATCATGTCGTCGGCACCGAGCCATGGCCACCAGTGACCAGTGGGAGTGTGTCGCCGGGGCAGGTGAAAGAAGCATCGCATATATTTTGTTCCACAGTAGGCGATATCTGCATGAGTAAAGTGCTGCCCGAATTGCCCACCTCGTGCACCAACTGTTCTCAAACATGTAGCGCGAAGCCGATA